ACTTGCTTCTAATGAAATGATACCCTTTCCCAACAAATGATGTTTGTGGCAGCTTATCATTTGTTGTTTTAATTGTACTGGACCAGTTGTGCTACTGACTGTATAAAAGCTCCAGAGAAAGAACCTTCCTAAGTATATATTTGTTTCTAAAGAAACTAGGTTTACCCTGTCTTCCACCACCTCTCAAAGACTGACGAGAAGACTGGGCACCAGCAATGATCCTGTATGAAGCAGCAGGCTCTTGTGGAAGCAGTCAGTGTGATGTTTCAGAGGAACAGCATGAAGGCTTGATTGGGGTGTGAAGCAGTGTGGATAGAAGCAGGAGATTCATCAGGAAAAAGATGTGTTAAAACCAGGTATAATTTTGGAAAATAAAGTGCTCGCTTTACTCCCCAAGAAGAGGGTTGGAACTCTGCCACACACAAAGTGCCGTTTGCCTGTGTGATACCCACAACCTCAGCCTGTACAATGGCACAGGTTCCCATAGAGCTGTACGAACGCAGTCCAGCACACACAACTGCAGTAGTTACAGGGACCCGGCAACATGTCTGCTCATCTAAGCAAAGTCTCAAAAACCTAAAAATCATACAGCATTTCTTCTCCTGCTGTGGTACACAGACACTGCAGGTGTTTATCATAGCTGGTGTACTAGTGGCCTAATAGTTAAGCACTGACATCTGGAGGGAAAAGGCTTCTAAAATATCAGTTTCAGATATTAATCTAGCTTTCTCCCTTAGCAAAATCATCAATTTATACATTATAAAGGGTTTTTTGTTTTGTTTTGTTTCTTTTGCTTTAGATAATGCAAAGATATAACACGTAAGAGAACTGAGAAACCCTGCTGCTCATTAAAAACTCAGCAAGATATTTTGGAGAGCTGCTTGCGTCACTTGAAACAGCTATACAATCACCATTGTTAAGGAGATGCCTGCATTTCCCAGACTCTTTGCCTTTTGGCTATAATATACATAACATGCATAAATATCACTTATGCAAATACTCGAATGAGATATTTGAGACTTCGGTCTCCAAAAACTAAAAAACTCAAACCCTCCCAAATACCTTATCAGGACAGTTCAGTCTCACAAGAAGAAAAGGCAAATGCCTTGTTCTTTCTTTTCTTTTTTTTTTTTTTTGTGGCATAAAGGCAACTTATAAATTGTCATGTTTGTTCAGGGTATAAAGATATTAAGAACTCCTCATACAACATACTTCTGAAATCAGACAAAATTGAACTGCAATACAGATCAATTAGTTAATGAAAACCACAAAAGAGAAATGTTAAGGCTGCTTAACACTACGCTCTGTGCAGCATCCTTATCACTGTAGCTTGCCACCAACTACCATTTGGTAATGAAAGATGAAATTTCTAGCAGAAATACACAACTCAGACACCACTAATGCAAACTCAGAATCTGAAAAACACTACCAGTGTGTCTGTATTCAGACATTCTTCCTTATTTTGAACATAAAACAATAAGAGTTATGAAAAATCAAGAGAAATAAAATTTCTGCAGCTGTTAAATGAAAATGAACATTATTTAAAAAAATCCAAACAAAACAAAAGCAACAACCAAACAACACCCTTCACCCCACCCCCCAGAAAAACAACCCAAACCAAACACGTCCAGTATCACACAGACCTCAACGTTTCAAGCTGTGGGTCCTGCCAAAGTAGCCCATGACAGATGCTTCTTAGACAAGGCATGTTTTCAAAATAGACAGTGACACAGTATAGTGCTTGTTGTCCAAATAGCTAAAAGATGCAAAGGTAAACATGTGCATTGTACCTAAAAAGTGGGAGCGTATGCATGGAAGCAAAAGCTACAAACACCCGCATCCCACATCACCTGTATGAGCTGTCCCCAGCCGATGGTTAGTGGGCTGCCGGCGCTCGCCCTGCCTGCCCCACGGGAGGGATCCCAAGGACAGCTATGGCAGTGGATGCCAGTAGATGCGTATGCAGCATGTGTTCCAAAGTTCCAAGTAAGTTTTGGTCAGATTTTAAGACAAAAACCAGGAAGAACGCAAGCAATAATAATACATTCACAAAGGATGTTCTCGGCAGCGTTCTATCTTCTACTACAATTAACCTTACTTTTTCCCAAAACAGAGTACTATTCAGTACTACACATTATTCATGTGAATTGTTTTCTTGGCTCGAAAATTGTTCCCTCTTCTCCCCACTCATTAAACCTTGGTTGCCTGTATTGCTCTTGCTACTTGTTGAGTGCAGCTGTATTGTCTCAGAGTCCAGGATGATTGCTCCTTATATTTGGTTGATCTGAGGGTCAATATTAAAGGTACACCCTGAGTAAACCAAAAAAGCATGCCAAGTCAAACCGGACAAAAAGCTGTGGTCATACCCCCTTCTACTTTGGTCTCCTCGTGTAGCCTTACTAAGAACACTTTTGTTTAAATCTTTGCTGCATTGCCCTAGGCTCTCTGGCTAAAATCCTCCTTTTCACGATCAAGGAGAGGTTTCCCACAACGTCTTAGTATTACAGAAACCACTGTTAAAACAATTCCATAATAAACGACCCTCTCAAACAATACCTGATAACCCGTCCCCAAGATGAGCTGCAACACTACAGAATCTCGTACAGTTAGATAATTGCTGCTAAATTTTTGAGAACAATCAGCTGAGGTGCTACACATGCAAAGACATTTCAGGATATTTTAGTGATATTTTTTGTAGCATAACAACTGTGGATACGCAACTGTATTTGGAAAAGCTAGAAAGTACCTCACTATAGGGTGAGAGATAATGAGTTAAAATTAAAGGTTGCTGCTGGCTTGCTAGCCCATCCCCCTTTAGCTAATCTGTCATGTAATGAAGAGAAGCACCTAGCATAGGACAGCTAGCTGCCGGCTCACTTACAGCGAGCTGATTAAGAATGTTCAACCAACAGCAGACTGCAGACCTTTCCAACAAAAATAAATAGACTGTATGCAAATGTGTTTGTCACTTTGACAGCATGTCTCAATTAAAGCATCTCGCTGCTGTTGGTAGGCTCGCTCACTGCAGTGGTATGGACGAGGCTTACTGCATTACTGATACACAGGGCTTGACCCTAATCCGCATGCATGCATTTTAAAAAAGTCTGCCTTTGCTATATACACTAGCATAATACTAGCAGACATAGAAAGCAAGTGACAATGAGAAAAAAGCCTCTTTCATCCTCTTCAGTTTATAAGAACTGTGAATGCACAAACAGCCCTTATTTCAGAGTTCTTGTGGCTTTTTAATTGTTCCCACCTACTGTATTCTAGACAGAGTTAAAAGTGACACTAAAATCTCTCCCTTTAATCACTAGTTAGAAGCCATCTCCCATTTAAACAGCAAATGTTGCTGCTTTTTGCCTCCCCAAAGCCTTATATTTCATAAACCCAAACATCTTTTCCTTTTGAATGAAAGTATGATTTAATTTTCATTTTGGCATTGGGCTATCAGGAAAAAAGGACCCGTGAAAGGACAAAGGCTATAAGTGAGATAGCCCTACAACTGCTAAGTTAGATCATTTTTTTGGAAACTGACATTTGTAATGTAATGACAGTAATAAGCATTTAGCAAGCGAGCCTTTCACCACAGCCAGTGGTTCAGTAAAGCTGATGTGTGTTTCTTTTGACACAGAGGAAGTGATCATTAAAAAATTTGAAAGTGACCGTTAAAAAACCTCATGAATTCAAATTTGCACTTTCCACTTGATTATATATTTCATTAATCTATCAAAATGTTTGAACCATCCATCCTTCATAAAAATCTAAAGGAAAAAAATGGAAGTAGATTATAATATTATCTGGATTTCTGACGGCTTTAAATGAAATGTAACGTTTTCCTGCTAGAGCTAGATGGCTACATTTCTCCAGTAGTCCCAATTCCTCTCAACGCTATTGGCACAGAAAGTAAGTGAAAAATAAATCGCTACTGCAAATACTTAATTGGAAGAGAATCTGTTTTAAAAAAGAAGACTTACATTTAGCACAGTGGTGAAAGTTCTGAAAGAAACAAATCTAATTCTAAAATGATACAGACAGCATTGCTCTGAGCAATGATTATATCTTGTGTAGCCCTACCTAATACCTCAACAGTCAATGCAGCTACACTGACTAGTTTCTCTCAACAGGCACTTATCTAAAAATTTGGTTTGCTTCACATTTTATGATTCCCACTTATTTTACCATTGTTTTAAAATTACACAATGTTTCCTTAGAAGAAACCAGATATTCACTCCTGTTTTCCAATCATAATACTGTACGAAATAGATACAGAGAAAGAAAAGAGAACTGTGAACACAAGTAATGTTATTTTTTGAGTCAGGCTACACTTAATAGGGGAACACTGGCAAACTGTTAGTAAATACTGTATGTTTTTCCATGAAAAATCACAGCAACTACATTTTCTAAATAATTAGCTCTTAAAAAAAATAAAAATCACACAACCAAACTCACTCTTTTGCAGACATATCAAAAGAAACATTGTAAGAGTAACTAATGCGTATAGCTCAGTTGTCAATACTGAAATACAGAGTACACTAATAAGCTATTAATTGATTTTTCCATCTTAGTTCATCGCATTTAATTTTCAGAGAATGTTAAAATGCTTTAATAGTTGGATGTTCCATATTGACACTAATGATCTGGCTGGATAACAGAGGGCGTTTTAAATTATATATCCTCAGTTCTGAGTGCTATAGCACTTTGCTTGCTAAAAGAACAGCAAAATAGTTTACAAAATTACTATAATAATTATGCTTCTCCCCCATTCACTTAGAATTTATTTTCCTGAAAATCATTGTATGAACAAAAGGAATCAGTAAACCCCAGAAAAATCAGGTCTTTGGAATCCCATTTAAATAGATAAAATAGAAATAAACCTATAGTAATACAATTCACTTACAAAAAATAATGAAGCAATTGGCATGTTCGTTATTGTGACTTTTCTCTGAAGTATTTTTGCAGAGTCACACAATTTAAAGAAACCTAACACTAAGACATACCTGACCAAAATGTACTGTGATTGGCCTTCTCTCTTCTCTTAATTTAGGGTCCTTCTTCTCAACCAAGGGCGAAGGCGCTGGCCTTGGGAGGGACTCCTCTGGTGCTGCAGAACACCCATTCTCAGCAATGTCCTGTATGGTAGGAAAAGGTGAATAGCATGGCCAGGAACGTTCTTGATTAAGGGTAAGGGGCACAAAGGAGACGCTAGAGGATAATGCTGACTAACAATTTTGATGTTAGGGGAAAAAAAAACACCAAAGTACAGAAAAGAAAACATCATTAGAATAAAACATTTCATTGTACTCTGTCAATCAGAGCTTGTACACAACCACTCTCTCCTCCTAATACCAATGTTGCATGCAAACAGACATATTCAATAAAATGTCTGACTTAAACATTCAAAAGCCAGGAAATAGATAGGCAGAAAAAACCCACATAGCTCAAAATTTCTATTCCAGGAACAAATTCAACAGAAACCTAGGAACGGGGCTATTCTGCTTTTGCAAACCTAAATGAAAAAAGTAATTCCATTTGTGTACTTCACAGAATTATCTGTAGCAGAAAAATTACTTGTGGAAGTGGCAAGGAGAGATGAAACTCACAGCTTAGTTAGCTTTGCATTTTATCTTTGAGTCTGTGTATACTGAATATGCCTTCAGGAGATTGTATAAAACAAACTGCTGCCTAGCAGGATGCTTTTTTGTTTTGCTTTGCCTTGCTTTTGCCATTAGTCCCCATCTTCAGAAGCAAAGTGACCCATCAACCTAGGTTAGAAGACTTGGCAAGTGTATGTATGGTATATATAACATAGGTTTTGAAAAAGACAAAGGCGTGCAGACATAAGGAATCAGACAAGGAGAAAAGAGTTTGAAAGTCAGTTGAGAAACAGTCTGTAACGCAGTGGGCCCCAAACCTTACATCTCTTTGCAACAATGTCAAGGAAATAATGCTTGGTAAATATAGAGAGAAACCTGCGCACACTGTAGCTCTGCAAGACTGACCTGAGGTTGGCTGCTGACATAGACATTGCTTTGATTCACTGACCTTTGACATGCCCCCTCAAGTTTCCGTCTTGCTAAGGTACAATAATGAGACATGTAAGCCGATGGCCAATTAGAAATGGTTCTTTTGGACACAGACTGACCTAATGTGTTTAGGTCAAATGAAACAAAAAGCTGGATGGACTTTCTAAGGGGCTTTGTCTGCTCCACAGAGAAGCTGAGAGACCTTTTTAGATCCAGCTGGTAGAGCAGTGGTTCACCAATATGGGTATAAGGATCGTGGGGAAATTAACAACTTGTTAAGGTCAAGCTAGAGAGAAAAACTTTTTCCTCCCCTCACCCTCCAGCTGCACAATGCTACTTTGTCTTTAAAAAAATTCAACAAAGTATGCTGAATTAATAACAAAGAGACCCAAACCAACTCAAGTACAAGAAATGCAAGCTTCTGTCAAACTCATACTTCAGCTCCAAAACAGCAACAAGCTACCATGGGATCTGGTCCATTCTGGAATCACATAACATATAGCAGCGACGTATACTGTTCTGAAATCATAGAATCACAGAACAGTTAATAGTTGGAAGGGACCTCAAAGATCATCTAGTTTCAACCCCCTGCCCTGGTTGCTCCAAGCCCCGTCCAACCTGGCCTTGAACCCCTCCAGGGATGGGGCAGCCACAGCTTCTCGGGGCACCCTGCCCCAGGGGATCACCACCCTGATAGTCAAGAATTTCTTCTTAATATCTCACCTAAATCTGCCCTCTTTTGGTTTAAAACCATCACTCCTCGTCCTATGGCTCCCCTCCCTGATCAAGAGTCCCTCCTCAGCTTTCCCAGAGCTCCTTTAGGCATTGAAAGGGCCTCTAAGGTCTCCCCAGACCCTTCTCTTCTCCAGGCTGAACCCCCTCAACTCTCTCAGTCTGTCTTCATAGGAGAGGTGCTCCAGCCCTCTGATAATCATAATCTGATGACATTAAATACAACCTTTATTCACATATTTCTGTACAAGTATAGCCATATTAAATATGCACCAAGTGTCAGACCTGTTATCTATATGCCATAACGGTGCTCAGCACATCCAAAGCCACCAGACTGCACTGAACAGTGGATGTTCCCAGCACTGCAGAGCTTTCAGAGTTCCACCTCGAGCTGTGGCTCCAACCAAGGTAACAGACAGCTGGGAATCAATGGAAAGCAAAGCGTCTTCCAATCCAGGCAAAGTGTCCAGAAAAATGTAAAATGCACACACAAGTTTGGACATCGGGGGAATGGGAGGAGATTAAAGATACAGCCAGATCAAGCCATTAAGCAAAACCCCCAAAGATGTATTACGATCACTGCAAATCCTTGTATCTTTTATTGCTATAGATTTGATGTACTTCTCTGATGATATAATTGCATACAAAATAGATGTTTCTAAAGCGTATTTCCACTGCTCGGTGTACAGAATCCCCCCAAAATTGCAGCACATTTCAGTCAATTTATTTTTTTTTTAAATTACTTAATATATATGAGAATGAAATTATTTGATACCTCTGTTTTTTCAAAATCCCCAAAAGACAGAGAAATCGACAACACAGCTTCAGTCAAAGAAAAATTTGCTTCACAAAAGTTTGGTTTCTACCTTCAATGAAACCACATTTGAGCTAAATAAACAGAGAAATCTGATTTTAAACACCCCAAAATAAGGGCTCCAAGTAGCTTTAAAACAGTTAAATGCCAAAGTGTTTGGCAATTCTATAATTGGAAAGTAGACAACAGTCTTTCAAAGCAGACCATGACATACCTTCAGTCCGCTAACAGACTCTGAATGCAGTTATTGAGAAGTCAGTGGGGAGTACGAGACAGAGATAAAACCACGAACAGAAAATGGGACTCTCTGATTCTGAACTTCAGCTTCAGAAAGGCATCAGGGCTCACAAAACGTCTACTGATACAGGCAGTGCTGCACCAGGAGAACTACAAATGACCAAAGCACTGCAGTGGATCATAGTGCAGGCAGGCCTTAAAAAAGCAGTGCCATTTCCTGGTAGTCCAAGGAAAGCCAGGCAGACCTGCGCAACCCAACGGAGGGAGAGGATTTACCAGCCAGAATGCAGTCTGAGATTTCCACACGGCGTTTGGGACCAATGCTGGTACCTCCACCCAGAGCCATGCTGTGCGAGTGTACCAGCCTGCCTGGCACTCCCGAGCGGTTCTCCGTACCGTGGTGCATCACACCGTGTAGGTACGTCCCAAGTCTGACTTTTCAGTTCCGACACATCCCCAAAAAAGTGATTTGCTACTAGCCAGCAAGGCATTGCTGAAGTAGCTCATGTCAGATATGTTATCCAGGATAACAACAGGAGACCTATCCCTCCCAAAAACCAGAAAAAAAAGGAAGGTGATAAGTTACTCGTTACTGGAATAAACTCTCCAGAAATGTGAAAACCTAGCAATGTTTTAGTGACTTTTTAACTAAAGGAAGGTGTAATTTGAGGATATCATTAAAAAACAAAAACACCTTTTGCCTGTGGAAAAAAGATGCTTTCTAGATTACTGGAAAAAGAGAATGACAATGATCTATCACACTCCATAATTATCTCTGTATATAAACAGTGCTTCCCCTAACAACTGTCCGTTCAGGTGAAATCTTTACCACCTATTTATTTTAAAGGACTAACTTCAGAAAATGAGTAAAATATATATTTACAGATATGTAAAGTTTACCCTGTAAACTGAATCAGGTTTTCTTCTGTTTAAATATGCATTAGTAATTTTTCTAGGGACCTTTTGTAATTGACTACAAATACTGTATATTAGAAGAGCAAAAAACACATTCCAGAATGTCTAGAAGGATCCTTCAGGTTATTTTATAAACCTCTAAATGAGCTGTTTCTACTGTACTGATAATAAAGCACTGACAACAGCCTATTGATAACAGCCATTAACTAGAGCCACACAGGGCTCTAGTAAGTAAAATAATGTTGAATACATTAATGCCAAGTACCCAACCATTTATATAAATTGTCTTATCCAGAAGCTTTCAGTAAGTTACATTCTCCTTACTGAAAGTTGAGGATGGTACCATTCATATTCCTCCTTCTTCCTAATTCTATGTAGTTAAGCTTCAAACGAGCCAATAACAGAGTGACTTGACCACCATGGTCCATTTGTGAAACGGAAAAAGCAGCCTTTACAAAAAAAAAAAAAAAAAAAAAGAAAAAAAAAGAAAAGAAAAAAAAAGAAAGAAAAATATTAAAATCTACTGTATCAGATATAAAATAAAGCTACCATGCTGTATCTATTAACAATTATTTGCTATCACTCCTAAGAATCCTCTGAAAACTATTTCTGTTGCTTTGAAATACTGTACCACAAATGAACAAGGGATGGAAATAGAGCCCCATTCAATCTCTACTATCATATTAAAGAAGGACCTTACACACACCACAGTGACCTCTCAACAGGTCAATCCTGCATTTCCCATTTGCAATTCAAACCCAAGACTGGAGCAGACCAAGGGCAAAATGGGCTCTTGATTATATTTAAGAGGTCACCATTGCTATGCAGAGTTGTAGGAAGCAGACCTCTCGCTTTATTGCATTTTTAAATTCTATCTTGTACAGAAGCTGCTCATATTTGGCAGCAAAAACTGGAAAAGGGATGTTTATATTTGACTTTTCCTTACCGGTAGCCTGCATACTTTTTGTATTAATAATGGAAAATAATATGTTAAAATGCAGCGGATGGTAAGTTCAGTTTAAAAATAACCTTAGGTTATCCTTAGAAGATGAAAGACTAGCATCCCAAACGTGGCAAAAACTATTTAATGATGCCAGAATTTCAAACAGCTAACACTTGCACACACTAGTAAGTAAGTACATGAAAAATACAATGTTGTCACATGAAAATTGGTGAGGATGCACTAACAGACTTGTCAACAGAGCAGCACAGACATTTAGATTAAAAATAATATGAGAGCGGTCAAAACAATTTTTGTTATTTTTATCACTTTAAACAGAGTAATACCTCATTTTAGAATTATCTTCCATTCAAATGGGAGAAAAGGATGAGATAGAAAAGAACAGACTTAATGAAGAAAGGAGAGGTAGAGCAGTATGTGTCAACTACTCACAGAAATATTTTAAGCTCTTGCGAAAGCGTATGTTGAACAATCATGTTTAACCACCTTACTTACAGAAATGCCACCTGATAAGGAAGACGAAACCAAATTGAGCCATTTATTTGTGTTGTGTGTGTTTTTTTAAAAAGAATGCTGCTTGAAGGACTAGAAAGACAATAATAGTAAAACAAAGCAATGAATGAATGGGACGTTTCTCAACCTTTTATACAAAAGTCACAGAATAGCATATAATTATATTAGTGTTTAAAATAGAGGAAAACAATCTGGTCATTTTACACAGCTCCAACTGCTTTAGAAATGCACATAAGAAGGCAAACATTTTATTATTCAAGAAGGTTATGTCCAGAAGTGAAACACATGGAATTACACAAATTTCCACGTACAGGAAAACTGCTTCAAGTTTCTAAGATCTTCATATTATACCTAAAGTGGCCGCATATAAAGTAGTAAGTGTAATAAGATAAAATAGCATTAAAAGCACCTGAAGCAACTTTATCTTCCTCAAGAATCTGCTAGAATATTTCAAGAGCAAACAGCATTTGGCTGGACACACAGTTAATTTCATCAGTTCATAACCTGGCTGCAGAATAATCCCTTTGCATTAAACTTTTGTTGACGTGTTCAGGTAGATTTCTGTTTGTGCCACAGGAATACATTTGCAGCACTATTTTAAGATAAATTTAAGAAGAAATTTACTGAGATAGCATAGATTAAGAAAACCCCAAACTATTATGCAACAAATTGAATAAAAACCTCTGATAGGAACTTCATTTCTATATCCAGTTCTATCTTGGTTTCCCAAAAGACTCTAATATCTCTGTTTCAAAGAAGAAACAATATCTGAAACAAACCTAAGGCAGAGTTAACCATTCATTCATAAGGTATGTATCGATACGACGGTGCTTCTGGCTTAAAAGGAGCAGTTAGTATTGGAAAACACATTCGTCAAACACAATTCAGCATTCTTGGAATTGTACTGTTTACAATCAGAGACAGATTTGGAAAACAACAAACAGTTTGAGCATTTTTTTTCTGCAATAATTCAAATTTGAAATGAACACCAACTCTAATTTAATTCCTTTATGGCTAAACTTTGCAGTAGAAACTCATGAAACATATAAATCCTGTTCCTTGTGACTGACCCTGTACTGTTTTCCCTGAGAGATTACTGTAGAAATAACAACAATTTGCCATTTGCAAAAAGTTCACTGCCATTACTGTAGGAAAGATCTCCCAGTTCACATAAAGTCCCGTTCCACAATGCCCCGGCACAAAGGACAGGAGAGGGACCACTCCAGATAGAACACTCAATTTTCTGGCTTTTGTGGGTTTAAGTCAGAGCCTTAATGTATTTGAAGACGGGGTTTTTTGTCTGTGAATATTTATAACAGTGTGAAAAATCCGGGACAGCTGGTAATGCATTTTGAAGTGTGCTAACAACACTGTATCAAACAGCTTCCTATTGATCACATAATGCTTTTCGTGGCTAAGTATTTCATACATGGTGCTTATACATTTTGAATAAGAACTTCAAGTACCTTTTGCTTCAAGCGGTTTTTCACTTCTTTTATTCCCATTTTTGCATGATCTTTTGCCTGCATGAAAAATTAATTTAAGTTAAAATCCCCTTCTATTTCCAGCAGTGACAACGCTTGATTTCAGTTCAAGATTCACTTTCTCTAGTTACTAAAAATGGCAAAGAAAAAATTGTAACAGGATACTGAAAACGTATTAAAACAAACAAAGCTAAAAAAAAACCCCAAAATACCCACCCACCCACACATTCATTGCTCTGTTTTGATGCCATAGACATCTTTCATCTTTTTGCACTCCACAAGTATTTATCTTTGCTATACGTTAACAATCAACAGAAAGAGCAAGCCTGCAAACTTTCTCCTTGCAATACTCCAGATGCCAGCTCCATTTAGTAGAGCTAATCTCATTTTACTCATCTTTCTCAGGCTGGAGGAAGGCAGGAGAAAATAAAAGTTTGAATAGTTATCTCAAGGCTTTTTGTAGCATTATTTCCTAAAATTGAGCTTAGAAGAAATCCTTGCTTGTTTCTATGCAGTTTTATCTTGCACAGTGAAACTGGCAGCCACAAAGGACACACAGTAACATAGTCGCTGTTTGTTAAGAGGACTGAAAACATTTTCATTTAAAGAATAACTCAGTCAGTTGGGCTCTAAATGAGCAGGTATAAGAAATCTCTAGGGAAAAATTAATTGACATTTAGAAAAGATGGAAACAATTTGGAAAATGAGAGGATTCCCTTATTTCGACGAAGCTGCAAGCAGGGAAACCTGAGGCAACAATGATTTCCAACAGAGTAATGATGAGATGGTAGAGCTGCTTAGTAAAGCATACAGGCACTATTTCCCAGAAATAGTTCTATGTAATAAATAGAATTTATCATCTATACTTTCAAAAGAAATCACAAGTTCCCTTTCTCTTTTGCATTTCAATTATGTTTAAATTTCAAAATTACTTTTCCATTTAAATTTGAAATTTAGATGAACGTGTATTTTAAGTAATTTTGTGAGTCCAATAAAAATGAATTTAAGTCTTGAGTTTCATTTGAAAGGTTAAAATGTAATTGTGATTAGACTCTTATCTCAGTAGTAAGCCAGTACTTGATACTTACAAACTTATAGACAGTCTTCATGGCAGGGTTAGCCTTGGTCTTTACTGTATTTAAAATGGCCCCACTTCCTTTCTATAATTATAGGAACAATGGCATAAATTTTATCAAAGCTCTTTAAAGCAAACGGCAATCTCAAATCCACCATTCTTAACTTAAAATAACAAAGCATTAACTATGCTTAGTAGCAGAGCTGAACATTAAAACGGTAAATTTAAAGAAATAGAAAACAAGTAAAAATGTATTATATGTTTCTCCAGTTTTCCAGAGGAACATCAATTCTGTTCAAAACAGCAGTTTTCAAATGAGAAATGTCGGGATCTCCTAATATCAAGAGCCCTTGTCCTACAGGTCGTCTCACAAAACAGTGTTCTATGACTGTTCCACTCACCCCCACAGGTGTCCTGCCCATTGCACTAAAATCCTAAACAAGTTTAAGACAAAAGCATCCTACCAAATACTCAATGTCTGGGGCAGAAAATTCAGTTTCAGGAAAACCTGTACGTGCAGTCTGAAGGAGGAAGATCTTTTTTTATTTTACTTTTCATGATCCCACAATACTATTTATCAAAAGCATGCTGCCTTTTTAAGATCTAAGTAGTCAATAAAAGGATAAATTGAGGGAAAATGAAATCTAACTACAGTCATAAACATTAATTCTAGAAAAGCTGAATTGCATGTGGTGAACATAATAAAAGTCATAAGACAGTAATATGTCAGACAGAATAATCTGTTAGTCTGGTCGGTGTTTTACACATCTTCCAAACACCATTGACTATCGCTCTACAGCACCTTATTTGATAAGGAGATGGGTAAAATCCAACGAATAAAATCTTGGATAATTTTATATTTTCTTATTGCAGTGCAAAATTATATTTCCAGAGATCAGAGGCAATCGGATGCAAATGGTTTTAAGATTTACTACTTCTGTTACTACCTGACAACTAATCCTCAACAAAAATTATAAACTGCTGAATTTAATCACAAGTATTTTTATATTCACTCTCAGCCACTCCCTTTTCTTATAATTTTAAAATTATTTGTCATCCTACATATTTATATATTTATAATATTATGTATATGTATTTACCCATCTAAGAATATAATGGATTTTTTTGCATTATTGTTACAAAATATGTTTAATTCTAAATTATCAAGATAATAATATTGAGCTGAATATATTGTGTAAGGAACACAATTCCATTCATAACCAGGAAAAGAGGCAAACAGAATGCTGCAAAACTCAATTCTGTCAGAAAACAATTCATTCTTTTCTACTGATTCAAACCCGTAAACCAGAAATATGCTACTTTTCAATACATCACGTTTTATGCATCAAAAGAGACTTAAAATCAGCTGTCTACTATCACCTATAATAACATTCTCTGAAAGTATTTAAATTTTTAATTTATACAACCAGAGCACTAAACCAAAGAGATATAAAAAACGTCCCAAACAGTGCTGTCCCCATTCAGCACTTCACACCATTTAGCTTTATAAAGAGCTTTTTGCTGTGGCAATTTTCCCTTTTCTTTTCTATTGAAAGAAAAGAAAAACCACATTATTTTCTAAAATGACATTAACTTATTTCCAGCTGTCTCCAAGACATTAAAAGTGGATTTCAAAAACTTGATAATTCCCATGGTGATTTTTTTTTTTAGCGTATTTTTTCTTCTGTTCTTTCTTGCACCCGAAGAACACACTAGTTTCCCAAAAATAAACTCAAGTTGGTCACAGGTGAACACTGCAGGCAACAGGTTAGTTCTGTTCACAAGGACAGAGATTAACAGCCACCCGGAACTGCACAATGGCCCAGCAAGAATCAGAATGTCTGTTTGAAGAATATTGTGCTCTTACCCTGACTGTGGAGAGCCACTGGTGGTACAATTTGTCGCTACCTAGAGAGAATCACAAAAACAAACAAACTGTAACTCTCTACTGAAAAGAAAACAAGGCAGAAATGTGAAGAGCTAGCACTTGCTGGTTCTAGGAGCATGAACAGAACAGAAACAGAACAGGAGAACCAGGCTTTGCTTTTAATGGAAACACAATAACAAAAAATGGACTAGATAGCTACAATTTTTCTTTTACTTGCTAGGGGGCACTTCTATTTTATCTGGGTTTGTCTTGCAGACATTTGAGAACCCTGAGGTTCTTTTTAAAGATTGCTAAAAGAAATTGAGGTGGTTCTGGGTAAAGCCAAAGTTTTTCAGTATCCTCCATTACAAGAACTCTTTTAGTTGTACTTTAGCCAACTGGTAAAGGTGAGGTTTTGCAAGACTGAACAGACTTTATTCACACTACAATACATTACTCAGTTCTTGACAGAGGAAAGAACACAAATTTAAGACGCTTCATCCTACAGGGGTCATTGCAGCTTCAGTTATTTACCTGAGTAACCGCAATGACCCATTACATCATGATGGCCCACAAACAGTAAGTCAAGAACAGTGTCTGAAATGACTTTAAAATACTGCATTTCTTACCCGCATATTCTCCCATATTTATCTCTTCTTCAAACACATCACTGAAGCCCTCTCCAGAGTTAAGAAGATCCAGACGGCCATCAATGAACTACATCAGCATTAAAAGAGAGTGGAAACAAATCAACCATCCCATCCTTTATCTTTTCAGAAGGACTTTGCTTTGCATTTGCTAGAATAACCTCAATGTTCTTATCGGGTAGGGACTCTAAATAGAATGTAAATGCAACCAAAATTGGCAAAATGGCATTTGCCATTTACCATGGCAAAAAGGTATGCTGCTTCACCAAAACCCCCAGCATTCCTCCCTTTCTCTATACAAATATGTTTTCAGCTTCCCTGAAGCAGTAATACCGTGTTTTACAGTAGTATGCTTTCTGTACAGAGCTTGCAGCAGATATATCGGGTCTCGGTATGCTCAGATCAAAACTGAGCACAGAGAAAACCATATACCTCTTAAAATACAGAAAGCCTTATCACCCGAATCTGAGAAAAGCCAGCAAACCGGAATTAAGGTGCTACACTACATGAATTTTCCTCATTATGCCGCTGAAAGACCAAGGAATATAGGGACAGCCCTCAAAAAATCCCAGTTGTATTGTTAAAGAATCTGCTTCTACATTAGAGCAATTAAGCCAGTACCTGCTTGAAGAGCTGGAGCTGAATGGCATTCTGAAGAAACTGCCTCATGACAGCAGAACGATGGGACACAAATGTTTCTTCACAAAAAGTGATGGGTTCACCCTGTGGAGTTCAGAGCATTAAACACTGAAAAAGCTTTGTCAGAATCCATTTGAATCCACTGTCTACTTCCCTGCCAAAATACACAGCTCAGTACGGCAGGCCTTACACAACACTGAGGAAACGGTAGTTTATTCCCAGGTTTCAACCATGGGACTGAGCAACAGGTTGGAAACTGGCAAATTGTGCATCATCAAAACAAAACACATTCACTTTATGCACATTTTGCTAATGCTGGTGAAGGAGCTTTCGTCATCCAAAACAGGCAATTTTACTTAATGTCCCCAAAACATGACACTCAGTCATCTGAATTTTGTGTATTCTGCTTATCTGCCTGGGCAGACCCGGCCAGTTAACCTGCACATTCCTAGTTCCAAAGAAAAAGAGTGTATTTGGCAGATTAGACTTTCATATATCAAATGAGAGAAATTTCCCTTTTTCATAACATCGTTGGCAAAAGACATAAATTGTTTTGCAGCTCTACTTTTATCTTATTTTAATGAGTTATGTTAATGCTGAAGTCTGCTGTGCATCTGCCATAAGGGCACAAATTTCCTCCACACTTAAATCTACAAATAATCAATGTAGCAAGCAAATATATTTATTGAATTAAAAACAAGAAAGTAACAAAGAATGATAAAATTATACTGATGTATAATTAGTATCGAGGCTTCATATTAAAATCTATTTGGACTCTTCATCTGTTGAGTGTTAAAAATCAACATTAGAGAGCAAAAACCCCTAAAGCACTCCCCTTAAAAGAGTGGTATCCTTCCATTTCCAAGAGCTTTTTATATTGGCAATCTCGTGTACCACCGGCAGTGTAAAGCTAGGATAACATGGCCACTAAAACGACTGTGCTCAGAAAAATCCCACACCGCAGCATTGCTTTGAGCATATTGGGTTTTCCCTACCAAGACCTTTAAGATCATTTAGTCCAACCACCACCGTCAACCTAATGCAGCCAAACCCACCACTAAACCAATCCTCAAAATTATGTTGGGCAAATTGTGATGACACTCACGTTTCCTAAAATCCATAGGTATTCACCTTTTTCCCTATCGATCAAATGTCCTCCTTGACACATCTCCTACTGAGGTCTGGAACTGCCCCAGAGTTCTCAACCTGACAGCCGATACGCACTGCCAATGGCCTGTCCTTCAACATAACTGACCTCACCATTGTCATCAAATGCTGCAAACAGTTGTATCAGATTTTAACATAATTTATGAGGAAAGCGAAGGAACTATTTGGCTTCAAATAATCAGACTGCAGTAATAAAATTAGTCCTGGTCTCCAATGAATTGAACAACCAGAATCACCAAGATGATACACCATGTACCTCACCTCTGACCCAGCAGTCAACAAATGCCAGAGGTGACAGATTGTTCTTAGCACGAGGAAAAGGATCAATTGCAAATGACTGTCTAAGCACAGGATGGGTCTCTTTCAAAGAGGGAAGAAGTCACTCTTAGGATAGTTTCTTTAACCTTTTCCTTGGGCCAATGAATTTCCATTTTCCAATTTGTGAAAGAAAGCAGGTTTCTTATGTGACAACTACAATTTTAGGATAACTCATTTAAAAAAAAATAATAACCTGTCTTTGATTTACTCTAGCAGGTTATTTACAGGAAAAAACAACATCACTACAATCAAACAAAGGTTCTGTCTCAAAAATCAAGGTATGTACCGCCTGGAAGATTTCAATGCATTCAAATCACAGAATCATAGAATGGTTAGAGTTGGAAAGGACCCTAAAGTTCATCCCACCCCACCACTGCCCCGGGCAGGGACCCCTCCCCCCAGCCCAGGTTGCTCCAAGCCCCGTCCAACCTGGCCTTGAACCTCTCCAGGAATGGGGCAGCCACAGCTTCTCGGGGCAACCTGCCCCAGGGGCTCACCACCCGCACACCAAAGAATTTCTTCCTGATACCTAATCAAAATCAAGCCTCTTCAAGCCATTACCACTTGTCCTATCTCTACATGCCCCTGTAAAAAGTCCCTCTGCAGCTCTCTTGTAGGCCCCCTTCAGATACTGGAAAGTTGCTATAAGGTCTCCCCAGAGCCTTCTCTTCTCCAGGCCAATGAAATGATTAACAGCTGATCACGCACTCCTGTTAGTAGATGGCAGAGAGGGACAGAACTGCTGCGTGACATGGAAGTGTCAGAACAAGACTTTGAACAAGAGGTAACTTGGCAAATGGAAAAAGCCATTAGTTGATTTGGAGATGGGGCTGACAATTTGGACTAATATAAGCTCCCCAGGCAAGAACTTAATATCTTACATTCAGTTATGGCCATCCCACTTGAGATTTGTTTATACTCTGACAGGTACCAGGAAGTGAAGGTCAGGATAGTACAGAGCACTACAATTAGTAAGAATCTTAGGAAATTGCAAATGCATCTGTTACTACAGAAGTTGCAGCGATGGACACTTTCCCAGCGGGGCCTAGGAAACAGTACAACAAACAACAGGATGCAGTGTCTACTTGACCAGTACGAAAAAGGCTTTCCCATCAAATTCAGCTACCAGAACACAATAAAAGATGCCTGAAAAATATTTGTGTCTGACATAGATACAATCTTGAGTGTGGACAGAGCTGGGAGCAATACATGAAGAAAAGCACAGATTAGTCCATGACCAGAGAAGTTGTTCACCAGAGGAAGGTTTAGCTTTCATTTAAGCCTCACTTACAAAACACTTTAAAGGAAAGAAGCAACCCTCCCTACAATCTACGGGAACCCAAAATTTCTCCCACAGCCAGAGCGGAGTACGAATATTGTGGAAAGAACGATGTCCTGCCAAAGAGAGGCCTCCTCTGCCCCGCTGTGCACCCAGCACGCTGCCACCAGCCTCTCCTCTTACCGTCCCGCTACGTACCGCCCCTAGAGACACGTGCCACAGCTGGGGGGGCCCAGTATTATCATCATGTTAACACACTTCCTTCCCCAAAGTATTAATGATTGACTTCGTTCATTAGGTTGATTAGACCTTTTGACTTCTGTAGAGACAATTCAGGCTCAACTGCTGCTAGATGATAGGAAAAACTTTAATCATCGAGGTCAAGCGTGAGCTTTGCAGCTTAGAATGCATTAGTACCTTCCATCCTCCATGACCTCCAGAAGGGTGCACACACTGTTGCTAACCCCCATCCACAGCTTCATTACAAAAAACACAAGATGGACAATAAGACCATTTTCTTGACAGATTTAGTTAACTGTAAATTATAAAGCTAACCAGCTCCGATTTTACAGACAGATGACATTATACATGAGGGGACATGCTAAGAACTGCAGATATTTTGTGAAATGAATTGTCTCGCTCACATGTAAAACAATTATAATAACTTGTCTCGATAAACCCATCAACTCCTAAACTTGCTGTTTCCAAAAATTAGCATTTAGGCCTTGATTCTTCAACACCTTAAATATCCACTGTTTCTCTCTCCAACTATAAATGCATAACAGAAGCTAAGATATGGCATTGCAAATGCTCTAAATATGTGCACAATGCAACTCTATGAGGAATATGATCTGCAGTATTAGATAATTCATATATTTCAAGATTGGATCACAAAATTATTTTTAATACAAAATTTTACACATTTCAAAGACATTTAATCTGCAATCTTAACCAAGAGAAGTAACTTTCAAATACAAGACTTAAGATTTAAGAGTCCCAGATGCATTGAAAAAATAGGTGCCTTTGCAAATCTCCCTTTACATGAATATTTTACATTCTTATGGCATAACAAAGTTCATCAGGGCAGTGCTGCTATCTCACAATCCCTTAAAAAGCTGAAAAGTTTCAGCCCACATTTGATCTGTTGCCAGCCCTATTTTAAAATTGGAATTCTGTTACATTCTATAATAATGTTTAAAACTACTTAAGGCAGTAAGTGAAAAATTAAAGGAGTCTAGGACTTATTGCAGACTGTCGTAGAGCTTCCTGCAACCTGCTGTACTAATTTAAGAAGCCATAATGCAAACTGAAAGATAAAGCCAGATTTTCATTAGCTACGCTAATGAATGTGAAAAATTTCACCGTGATCCCCCATCTTCCGAGGAAATCACCTTTCCTCAGAAAGAAAAAACTTTCTTTCAGGAGAGAGTACAGGACCTCGTGCAGACAGTTACTGTCAGTGAGAGAAGTATCATATCGCAATTGTCTGGCTTACCACGCTAGCTAACTGGTTATGGCGATAACTTTCACATATAAAGGACTAAAACTATGTGGGACAGAAGACAGCACAAAGTAGAGAAGGACCTGGAGGAAGGGACAGAGGTAAACACCACTGATGCCTTAGCACATGTGTGTCTTTCCAGCAGGAACTCATGGAAGTCTGAACACTCCCAGTCCTGCAAGAGCTGAGACACCAAAGTGTGTACCTGGATAATGGGGCTTTAAAGCCAGCATGTGACTGCTGGAGAAAACATTAAGATAATAAAGACAGGGTTCAAATCAGGTCAACAGGGAGAGTCTCTTGCACAAGCAAAGATTTCACAAAACTTGATTCTAAGGGTAAAAAAACCAACCAACAACCCAAACCTGAAGACTTTGTTTAGACAACCCTAAAAGTTATGCCATGGAAGATATATGTAATCTCTTTTGCATTATCATGGTCAGCATGTGGTGCAGGGTAATGAATTTTGTGCTGCTGTATGCATGCCTTTAAACCACGTAGGTGCTCTTAATAAATACACAAGCCATTAGAGCTGCTCTGTAAACCAGCCACGAAATGAGAAAATGTGGGTGGAATTTAAAGGTGCAGAACAAGATGACAATCTGACAGGCTACAAGCTGTACGTCTAGTGTCAGTATTCTGTGCAGCAAAACCCCAAATATACAGCAAGAACAACGACATGCAAGAGATTAATATATCACTGTTTTATTACTACCTAGGTGTTGCAAATAACCACATCCTTTACTAAAATTGGTTATGTCGCAAATGATAAAGTAAAGCCTGTAGGAATATTGTAGGAATCATCATCCTTAATTCCAT